TATTCTTTGAACAATTTTACCCTTGGCGATTTTTCATTCAAACTTACCATTGTTAAATATAAATATTTTTTGGAGAAATAATTTGTTTTTTAGATTGTCTTTTAAGGTGTATAATATTCTTTGGAAGAATTTAAGTATTGAACTTTCAGAAAAACTTCAAATATGTGAAGCAGTAGCATAGTTCAACCTATAATTTATATCTCTGTCTGATTATCTACATTTGTCGTAATACTCCACTCCAATTTTGTTCCTCATAGACTTATTATTTTATATATTATATATTAAATACCTTAGATACTCAATATATTGTGTTTGATACATAAGTATTGTTAGCTGTATTTGTTTCCTATCAGTGCTGAAACAAATTGCCATAATATCTTAAAACGATTGAAGATTATTACTATATAGTTCTGGAGGTCCAAAATTCAAAATGAGACTTAAAGGATGTTAAGGACTGGTTCCTTCAGGATGTTCTTAGGAAGAACCCTTTCCTTGTCTTGTAAACCCTGCCCACATTGATTGTGTTGACTGTACAGATCAATTTAGGTGTGTTCTCCATGTTTTCAATATTAAGATCAATAACTTAGGCCCACTTCCCTGGGTATTCCTTTCTGATTCCTGAAGTATCTGATGTTTCGAGGTCTATAATATTTACCATTTTTTAAAACAAGAGTTTAGAAGATATATCTAGTTGTAGAAGTGCAAGGAAGAAGAAGTTAAACAATTTACTAATTTACCATGCTTAGTGAGATATATTATATTTAATTTCTGACTAAATTAGACTACCAATTAATTTAAGTATCAGTTGGCAGCCAAGAACATAGATGATATTGCTTCTTAAAAGTTTTCTTCTCTGCCAAGCCAGAAAGAAATGGAGACACTTCTAGCTATTTTTTTCAGACTTATTTGAAGTTTCTTGTTTTGTTCTGTTTTGTTTTTCTTAAAGTTTCCAGTGGAGATGCCAAGCTGGCAGCAAATGAAATATACTGTAATGTGAAGACTAATGAATATATGTTGGATCATAGCTATCATTATCAAAAGTGCTGGTATAGAAATGTGTCAGAGAAAGGTTTTCAAATTAGAGTTGGCCTTTACATAAAAATATTAGCTTGTGAAGCTCAAGAAATACTAACTTGTAGTCTATTAGTCCCCTACATTTTATTGTCCTTTGGAATAATTATATACTTTAGAACATCCTTTAATCTGAGCTGGTTTGTGATTGTGTAAGAATGCTGCTCCTTTTTTCTTTATTCTTTATATATTCATATATGGAAAATGTATTAAGTTTTATAAATAAATCAGAGTTAAACAGCAAATTTTCTTTCCACTTTTTTATCTTCATAGAGGCCCAGCTTTAAGGCATTTGATAATGCATTTATACTCAGCATTGATGATGCATTTATACTCAACTTGTTCCACAGGAGAAAAAAACCTTCAAAAATCACTTTTTTTCCTTGTAGGATGCACTATTTGGGATGGTAGGGAAAGGAGCACTGTTCTTATGGCAGTGAAGAGCAGACCTTTGCTCATGGTTTTCACTTCAGTGTCATCACCTTACAGAAATTATAATGATTCTCATTAATATAAAAATCACCTCCATATTTAAATTAAGATAGCCACTGAATTTATGTTAATAAGGAAGATTGCTAAGTATTAGTAGAGCTCAATGTAATAATCATAGCTTTATTTAACAAGAACATTGATTTGCATTGACCAAGTCCTTCTTTGATATTTAGCTTGACTACTATGTTAGCTCAGCTTGTGTGATGGGACTGGAAACTGGTTAGGAAATTTTATGCATTTCCCCATGCTTCCTGTTTAATATGAAGTAATTTTGATATTTGTAAATCAGGATAGAAATAGTCTATTAAAAACAGTATGCTTTATTGGGTCAGACTTTAACATTTTAGGATGGTCTCTAAAATATATTGATGGTAAAATTTATGACTTTGATTTATGTGATCATAACAGCTATAAAGTTTATGAACTAAACTTAGTAGGTAAAAATTACATGATGTAGAAGATCTGTTCTGTTAAACTGAAAAGTGTTTGTATTAACTAAGTATAATCCATGTGTATTATTGCACAAAATATAGAAACAACTGACTTTCAAAATATCAGCTAGATTGGAATTTTAGCCATAGGTCATATATTTTTGCAAGATGTTAATAGATTTTCTTTTGTTTGTTTAATGGCATATAATTTAAAATTATACAAACTTTTAAGTTTTCAAATATTGTCCAATATTTCTTTTCTATATACAGATAGTCTGACTAAACAAAGGCAATGCTGTGATAAAGTTTCACCCAAATTATGTAATAGGCTTCTCAAGTGCCTGCAGGAAGGCCTCAAAAATTAAAGAGTAACACAGAATAAACTAGTCACTAATCTCTGAGTAGCAGATAAATAGCCTTTATTCTGCCTAACCCAACACTTTGCAGTGTAGTCCCAACCATCAGGCAGAGCACTTTCCCTCAGATCCTGCTCTCAGAAGAGCATTCCAAAAGCCCATAGTCAGTGAGACCATCATATCAGAATACATCCACTTGTCAACCCTAGTCCAGTTAAGGGTAGCCAATATAATTTATATCATTTCATGTTGTTCCCATAATCTGTTCCGATATTCAAATATAGGGAGGGTGAAAATGCACCAGACCAAATTAAAATTCTCTGTAGCTATCAGATTGTCTTTTATGAAGTGATGTCCCTGGAATAGTCTTCACATGATATCCACTTTTTAATCACCATTGTCTGTGAACTAAAATAAAGTGGCCAAAATGTATTTTCAGAGGCCTTTGGAATTTAGTAATAATAAAAATATTATTAGCAATAACACTAATAATATTAAGGCCTTAGAATTTAGCAGTCAGTTAACATTGAAGACATTTTGTTTTAGCAATATGTGAGAAAATTAGTAGACAAAAAGATATTCGGGTTCTTGTCCAACAAAATGGATGACAAAGAAAATCTTTCAAGAAGTTCTAGAAGCCTGAGTCTGTTGCTGTAAAGTACAGTAAGTTAGAACTATACCTTGCCTGCATCTTCATCTAGAATTCCTTAGTTCTATGCAAGGCATCACATACCTTGGACAATCCTGAAGGTCATAAAAATGGTGGCTATGCCTGTAAAACAGGTACATGGAAGAAAGGGGTTTCAACTTCGTGAGGAGAGTTTTAATTTGGTGAGGAGAATGGTTGATATTTTGGTTATTTTATATTACAAATATGATCTTATAGTAAAGCCTAGAAGTTACATGTCTAAATAAAGGTTTGAGCAACTCCAAAGAGCTCATATTATTTTTTCCTTACCTTTTAAAAGAAAGCAGTATCATAGTTTTCTAATGTCTTTCCCCTCATTATGATACTTCTCTAAAATTAGGTTTGGGTAAAAAGGGAAAAGAAAAAAATGTGAGAGAATGAAAAGATGAAAATAAAGTGTTTGTAGATGGGGAGGGGAGGAGTGGGTGAAGGGAGGGTAGAGGTAAGGGGAAAAAATGAGAATCAAGACTTATCATGTAGAGGTACATGATCCCAACAATGAATGTAACTGTACTGTATCCCTAAAATGTACCAATAAACTCAATTAAAGCTGAAAAAAAATAAAATTAAATTTTGGTAAGTTAAAGTACTGCATCCTCCAGTATCCCTCATAGTTACAGTTAGGACTAAGATGATGTTTTTAAATATATGTATATATGTTTATATGTATGTGTATATGTAGAGTACTGTTGCACTTAAAGATGATAAGCCAAGGTAATGATACTTACAGTATCTGAAAAATAAGGAGACCAGCATCATGTGGGAACCAACAGGAGCTCTAGAAATAGACTTCTAGCACTGGAATCCTGGCTTGAGCAATTACTAAGTGAGTCATTTTAAAAATGTGTCTAAACACCAGTTTGCTGTACTGTAAAAGGAAGGGTAAAATGACTTTGTTGAAGGTTTATTGAGAAAATGAGGGAGGGAAGATATATAAAAAATATTTTGCTCAATGCCCAGTACCTAGTCACAACTCACAATTATTAGGAACTTGTGTGCTTTTATAACCCAAAGCCTTGATTTTTCTTTCTGTTAATGTGCAATAATTTGTTTTGTTTTTGTTTCACCCTTTTGACTATATAGTTTCATTATGAGGTTGGAGAGGTGAGATGGTTATCATTTATTTTAGGCAAGTATACTTGAGAACAGCAGAATAATTCTAGGTCACCATGTTGCCTCTGTTGCTTTGACCACTGGCAGATCAACTGCTGGTAGACAGGCATCTTTAATTGGTTCACTGTTTGTATGTTTGTTTATACCAGGATCAAACTTAGGACCTTGCACTTTTAAGGTAGACATGGTGCCACTGAGCTAAATCCCAAGCCCACATTGGTTTTTTAAAATTTGTGATATAATTCACATATCATAAATTTCAATGAACAGTTTGGGGGATTTAGTGCATTTGCAAGAATATGAAACTATTGCCACGAATTCCAGATTATGCTCATTACTCAAAAGGAAACCCATATTCATTTATAACTTTCCCCTAGTTTTCTTCCTTTGTTCTTGGCAACAACAAATCTTTCTGTCTCATTTCACATAAATTAAATTATAAAATATGTGATCTTTTATGTTTGGCTTCTTTCTCTCACCTTAATGTTTTTAAGGCATATTTGTATTGTAGTATATAGTGGAACTACATTCCTTTTTAAAGGCTAAATAATATTCCATTGTGTGGATGTACCACACGTTTTGTTTATGAAACATGTGATTTTACACAATTTTGTTTTTAGGGAAATCTTTGGAAATAGTTATTCCCCCAACCATATATACATTGTGCATTTGTACCTTTTTTTTCCTTAGACAAATTATTTTAATGTCAGCTTTTTAAATGAAAATTCTGTAGAATTTGGATAAGAAAAATGCAAACTGAATTTCATTATAGAGACACTAACAATTTTTCTTTCATTGAAGCCTAGTTCTTTTATATTTTATCTCTGAAGCTTTTCTGAACTTTCCTAGGGAAAAAGAAGAGCAGCTCACTCGTGTAACTGAAGTTCAGAGGTTGCAGGCCCAGCAGGCAGATGCTGCTCTGGAGGAGTTTAAGCGGCAGGTGGAACTGAACTCAGAAAAGGTCTATGCCGAAATGAAAGAGCAGGTAAGAGGCAAACATACTGTCCTTTGTGAAAGTCAGTCTCTCAGTAGGAAAGTACGTTCTCATCTTCAATGAGACAGAAACATTTCACTTTCTTTAAAAAAAAAAAAGCATTGTCAAAATTAGCCATACAATTGGGTCAGAGATTCAGAATGAGAAGGCATATTATCCCTTGATTTAATGGCAGAATGATCACTTAAAAGATCTTTCTACAGGCTAGGGGTAGAGCTCAGTGTTAGAGTGCCTACTTGGTATGTGGGAGGACCTGGGTTTGATCCCTAGCACTGTGAATCAAAACGTAAACAAAAAGTCTCTTCTACAATATAGTAATGCAAGAATATTATTTCTGCTGGGAGGATGGATATGTATACAGAAAAAACAAAACAAAACAAAAACAAAAACCTCTACCACCAATCAGATTGTTTCTGTAGAGTGTGGGTTCTTTTTGTTCCATGAAATCATGTTTTATTGATCAATTACAGAAAATTACTTTCAACTCACAGTTCAAGAGGACAGAAAATGTCCATGATTCTTATACAGATTAAGTAGTATTTTTGTTTTGTTTTGAGAATTTTAAAAATTGTTAAAAAAGATGATTTATTACAAACACTTAGACATTCATTAAGAAGAATCAGCAATTGCTGATATTCCATTCACATAAACTAAAATGTTACAAGTAAAAATTTCCTATTCCTGTCTGATCATGTTATTATCTTCTCACCACCCCATGTGAAAACTACTATAATTAATTTTGTATGATTATTTCAGTATCGTTTGTACTTTTATTTATGATGTTCATGTACATGCATAGAGAACAAATCATTTTATTATTTAATAAAATATATTAATTAATATACTTTTACTGCATATATAATGTCCATATATAGTATCCATAAATAAAATGTTATTATAGACATTTATATTGTTTCATTTTTCACTTTTAAAAATGAGATAGAGATCTGATATATTGTTCTTGTTTGCTTATTTATATTTACTAGTATGTGTCTATGCTCCAAGCATGTTGATTTCCCACAATCCTTTTAATATTAAATATGAGTATAACTATATCTTAGTTATTAGCTCCCTTTTTAAAATATATTTAGATTATTTTCAATATTTCCTGGTTACAAAGAATGTTACACTACTTGCTATGATTTAATATTCAGTTGTAGTGATCTTCTTTAGGAGATCCAAACACACTAGAAATGTCCCTAAGGAAGGTTTTATGTTTGGCTTTTACATGGCCTAGTAGGGTTTAGAGTTTGCAACTCTGTTTATTTTTCTGTTGTTTTCTGATTTCTGTTCATACTAGTTTTTGGGAATCTAGGCTCTGAGAGATGGGTCTAAGATCTCACTCTTCGTTACTTGCTACTAGAGGCAAAAGTTAAATTCCTGTTGAGAGTTTGTGCTGGAAAGTAGACTTCCCCTCCCTGCTCCTGGGTGTGTACCTCTTCCCAGGTCTGTGCATTATCAAAGCTAGGCCCTGGGGTATATATCTGGTCCAGATATTCCGTAGAGCTGATAGAAGCTAGTCAACAGGCTGAAAATTAAAGGAATAGAGAAAATATTAAAGCAGAAAGCCCCAGGCAAGAATTTTTAAGTACATTGCTAAGAATTTTCGGCTAACTATTGGGAGGGCAGGGAAAAGGGGAAAAAATGAGAACCAAGACCTGTCATGTAAAGGTACAAGATCCCAATAATGAATGTAACTGTACTGTATACCTAAAAAGTACCAATAAACTCAATGAGAAAAAAATATTGATTATTAGAAATGGTTGTGGCTAATAATGCAACTTTCTGAGAAAAGTGGACTTCATGATAGTCATCTTGGACTCACTAAATGCACTTCTAGGGCTGATAATTTAATAACAGATAACATAAATCATGGGTGAAAGGAATAGATAGGCAGATAAGGTACAACCTGTGAGAACATTCTGTAAAAGACGGAAAAGGTTTCTTTATTTAACACTTATAGAATAAAAGCATTCTTCTGAAAATGAGCTACTGTAGAATTCAGAAAAGTAGTATGTTTATAAAAAGTGACCTGTCAAGTAAAACTGAATACACTGAAACTTGGATGCATCCTGGAAAAAAATTGAACCTCAAAAATAAAATACCCTGCAAGTTTCTAAGCAGAATGATACTCGCAAAGAAATTAGAAAAATAATGGAGTGGTGCTGTACAGTTCTGAAAGAGAAAAGCTGTTATTCAATAAATTATTACTCAACCTTAGATATAACCAAGGAGTTTTCACTCACAAAATCAACAGAAAAATATTTTCTTACGTACAAGAACTCCGATAATGTATACCACTTTTTTCGGGAAAGTTACAGTATGTAATTAAAAACTATAGTGAATATTTAGAGTTTAAAAAATTATCGTAGTAAAAGACACAGTGCCAAAAATACAGTGAATGTCAAATTTTTAAAAAGTATTAGAATACAAGAAAAATTGCCATTAATCTCTCTCAAAATACCCCCCCACCTCAAACACACGTATCCCATCGTTCTGCCATGTCAGGAAGCGGTTCAAGAAGTCTTTTTTCATTAGTGTCATTATTTGTGCACTGGTGGCTGCCTTGATATCCTGAATTTGTTCAAAACACTTACCTTTTATGATCATTTTGACTTTGGGGAAGTCAAAAATGACTTTGGGGAAGAGCTGAAAGTCACATGGTTCCAAATCCTGTGAACAGAGTGAAGAAAGACACTGCAGTGTTTTTACAATCCCGCTTTTCCGTTGACAGTACTCAGCAGCAGCTTGCACTATATTTTTTTACCACACCTTGTGAAGATACTCATGAAAGAGAACAACCAGAAATACTTCAGAAAGTGACAAGAATGATGGGATAAATGTGTTTGGAATGAAGAGGAGTATTTTACAGGAGGCTGATGGCAATGTGTCTTATACCATTTTTAAATGTAAACATCCATCACGTATTTTGATCAACCCTTCTAGATGAACACATTAAACAATCCAGAGACAAAACACAAGACTTCCCACACATGGGGATACCATCATATAAAAGGATGAGAAGGTAAACAAATTTAAGTAATTGTGAAAAATCTCATTATAAAATACTATACTCGATTTATTCCTGGAAAAGAAGTTATGTTGGGAATAAAATACAACTTTAATAATTTTGATCTAAATCCCTCTTACATTACCAAAATCAAGAAGTAGATGGATAGGCCTGAAGGTGTAGCTCAGTGGTGGAGCACCTGGCTAGCATGTGCCAGGCCCTGGAAAATCTGAGTGCTGGAACAGAAGAAGAATATCTAATACTCTGTCGTGAATATGTGAGACTCCTAAGAGTCTTAAAATTGGGTAAGTATAAGATATATTGATTTTCAGATCTATACATTTTTAAAAGAAAAACTAAGGCCACTTAACTTTTCAGGGTTTGTTTGAGCAAGAAAATTTTCTAGAAACTGGCAACATTCCAGACTGAAGATGGCTCAAGATTCAAACCCTCTCCCAAAATAATGAGCTACTTTATAAACAGAAAGATAAGAAAAAATACAGACCTTATTTAATTGGTACTGTTGGTGTTTGCCTTATCTGGGCATACTTTGGCAGCTTTCAGCCAGTGAATCACTCAAGGGTTAGCTGCTGTGATTGGCTGAGACTCAGATGCTAAACTGCAAGAGTATACTGTATACTCTTAATTTATGTCACAGTCTCCTTTACATATCGCACTAGGTAGGTAGTTCACTATATATGGAGTCCTCTTTGGGCCAGTTTCACTATTCAGGTACAGAGGCTTGTTTATGCCAGTTTATTTTGGTTCAACAAAATATTGACATTAATAAAATTTAACAAGTTGTACATTTTCATAAAAACCTTGAGATTATAGGAAAACTTGAGAATGAATACTGCCTAAGGAATAAAAATAAAAATAAAACAAAATATCCCAAAAGACAGAGTACACCATTATAATAGTAAACGTTAATAGGTTAAATTTTTTCTAGTAAAGAAGAGTATTGTTAAGCAGACTTATGTACATGAATCTGCTGTTTATAAAAGGCACAAGTAAAATTAGAGCAAATTATGTTAAATTAGTGATGAAAATATGTCAGTTAAATTCAGAAAAAAGTGTGAATAAATTACAGAAATCAGTATGGAGACTTCTTGAAAAACTAAAATTAGAAATTCCAGCTATCCCTCTGCTAGGTATCTCCCCCAAAGTCATCATACTACAGCGATACATGTATAACATTGTTTATAGCGGCACAATTCTGAAGACAGCCTGTATACCCTTCAACAGACAATTGGATAAAGAAAATGTGTCTGTATATAATGGACTACTCAGCTAAGAATGACACATTTAACACATTTGGAGGAAAATGGATGCACCTGGAAAATATAAAGTTGAGTAAAATAAGCAAGACACAAAAGCTTAAATACTATATGGTATCTCTCATTTTAGAGAGGCAAAGTACAAAGACTGATGAGGATGAATAATGGGTGGGTGGAAAGGGACAAGGGAATGGGTCTCTCGCAATAGGAAAGTGATTCAAGGGAACAAGGGCGAGGGGAGAAGAGGAAGAGAAGCGTAAATGAGAGGATTGAAGAGGTACAGGAACCTAATAACCCCAACTAAGGTAAACACTATATGCCACAACATGAGCTCAGACAAATATCAACAAGCATGAAAAGGGGGAAATGGGAACAGGAGGAGGAGGGAAAGGGGAAAGAAGGGGAAAGGAATCGAAATGAAACAAAAAGGAAACAAGCTGTAATAGGTACATGTAACCACTCTCCAAGGTGACTGTAAACTGAATGAATTGCAAACATGTACTAATAAAATTTTTAAACTATTAAAAAGCAAAAAGGATGAATATAATACTACCATACAAATTAGGATCAATAAAAATCAGTAGGATCACCCGGCGGCGTGCGCGCGAGCTCCCGGCCTGCGCGGGAGCTCCCGGCCTGCGCGACAACAGACCCAGGAAGGACCCAAGGACCCCAGAGGGGGTTTTTTTCAGCTGCCTGCCTAC